CTTGTGCAGCTGTGGGAGCAGTTATTCTCACTTTCTGGGTGTGGCAGAGTTAGTCACAAGGAGAAGGGTGGGACCCACAAAACGTATGGCAAGGAGAGCAAGTTTGACAATGGTCGAAAACCCAGATATTCATGTCTGCGTGCCTGTGTTTGAACACAGCCCAACCTGTGGCAGGGCAGATGGAGTCTTTTTCAGAAGCTGCGAGGTGTGGTTGTGGTTTGGATGTTATATCATGCCTTACCGAAAAACCTGATGAACGTGTGTTCATGTACTTGGAGATGATAGAGGATGGGTTGTACTCATCCTGCATTACCAAGGCTGCTGGGTTCTGGGTATCTTGATGTTCAGACCACCGGTGTAGTGAGTTTTTTGGATGTTCTCTTGGCCAGGAGATTTAAATTTTAAAAAAAGTATTATATTTTAACTTGAAAATCAATCACCTATCATGGTTTAGCTCGCTGCTCCCTGGGCTGTACCTGAAGGCGAGCCCAGTTGGTGAGGTCTCCCTTGGTATGTGTGTCCTGCAGCCATGCTGGAGTACTATCGGTGTAGTCACTTTTTTTTCTAAGAGGACAGATTCAGAAGGAAAAAGTCAATTTTATTCATTGGTTTCTTGTTTGTGCTCTTTCAGAACTTAAGGTCTTGTCTCTAAATGTTACAGATAAAGCTCTGTTAGTGTCAGATTGTTGTTTTGGAATTTAGGGATGGACGTGGCAGAGCCTACAGGTGATACTGTATATCAGTGTTTTTGTAGCTTGTTCATGAATGTATATATTATAATACACGTTTTTTCCATCTTTCTCCTTTTCATCCAAAGTAGAGCAAACACAGATAAGTATGCCGGTATATTTATTTTATTTATTATTGATTTTTAGATTTATTGTTACCATCATTCAACTGCTTTCAGTGAAGGTGTTAGCAGAGTTTGCCTCAGTACCTCTGCAAGAGTCTCTCTTTTGATTCTTAGCTCAATTTGCACTATTCAGTCAGGTGTCACAATCTGTTTTACTGTGAATACAAAGATAATGAAGACCACGTTTTGCCAGTCTAGACCATGGATGGTACTCTGTTATCTCCAGTTATTTCGTCACTCATTTTTACTGAGAGTGCTTTACATAAAAACCTGCACTGGGTTCTGGTTGTTCAGGGTCACATCTGGAGTTTGGGTCTCTCATTTCTGTTAGATCAGGACAGTTGTGCTAAGTTTCACTTTGGTCTTTGTATTTCCTGACACTACATAAACTCCTATTTTGATTCTTCTGTGCTTGCTCTTTCTTTGTGGCTTTGGTATGCTTTCAGGCAATTTCTGACATGATTAAGATTTTATTAATTCATGTCCTCTGCATTCTCTCAGTGTGTGAGTGCATTTGCTTCAGTGCCAGTGTTTCATTAGGAGCTTTGAGTTCAGTGCATTGGTTCCTACTTCTGCAACTGCATTATTAATTTCTTAATTTTTAGGTTTGATGCTTGGATCGCACATTTCTCTTTCTAGTCCCGGAACATTTTCATGATGTGTACTGTTAAGTAGCAAGTTTCTGGGTTGAAACTGAAGTGCTATTTTTGATCATTAAAGGTATAAATGGTTTGAGACCCAGTTACTTGAGGGAGCAAGTTGAGTGCAGTGGAATCATTAGACCTCTTCTGCTATAAATGGGAGAAAGCACTGGATAGACTGCTCTCTGTAAAGGCTTCTCAAAGTGAAATTAATTTCTTTTCTTGTTGTAGCATATCCCAGTTTGACTAATCTCTTGGGTGTAATGAAAGCTCCATCTCCATATTTTACTGTAGGTAGGTGAAAGTTCTGGATGGCAGTCTAGGTGTGATTTGATTCCCCAGAGCTTGAATTTGATTGTCTGTTAACTGGGGAATAGAGCTTGCATTCTTACCAGTATATTTAAACTGTCAGTGATTTCTCATTGCAGTAGCTTTGTCACTACTTCACAGTAAAGCATTTTGTATGTTAGTGCATCTTCTACAGCAGGTGTCTTAAGTTAAGTTGGTATTTGGGCTTGACTGCCTTAAAATTTAGACTTGGTTTGTACTTGTCGAGTTAGTGTAGAGTTAATATGCAGGCAACTGAAGCTCAGCTGAAAATATTCTAAGCAAAGAATAACCAGAAGTTATTGCCTCTGTTAAGTAAAACTCCTTCGTTGCTAGTGTAGTTCCTTAGGCGACTGCACTGATGTGATCGCATTGATGGTCAGCCTGCCCTGCCAGTTTTTGCGGCTATTGGCCAGTGTCTGTTCATTTGACAGTATTAGAGAGCTCAAAGATGCTCAGCTTTTGTAAATTTTGTGACTATTGGTAAGTCAGCAGCAGAGGGAGACCTGAGATTGTAGATTTTGTCTCCAGGTAATCTCTAGTATTTTGATTTACCTGCCAGCTGAGAACTTGGCATGCACATAGCTCAGAAATAACTGCATCACTGTGTTGCCTTTAACCAAGAAAGAGACAGGAGAAATGAGTAGTGCTGGCTAATCTTGAAACTTGGGACCAGAGGCAGGGAACTGGGAGAAATACAGAGAAATGTGGTCAGAGGATACCTGGGAGGAGTTGGGATTTTTGCATGGGAAGCAGTAGAGACAGAGTATGGGAACCTGTGCATGACTAATTTCACTGCTCACAAAATAGCTTTAATGTTAGCTCTCAGAAAGCTTCCTTACTTGCTTCTTCCTTCTCTGTCTTGCCTAGCTGGTTTCAAACTGGTTCTGTGGCTTACCTTGAAACTCTGCTTCTGTCCTGCACAGGGTAACTCTTGTAGTTTCAGAAAGCGGTTACTAAAATTGACTTAGCACCGATGTATTTCTGTAAGTCCACAAATAAACTTGTGGCTGAATAAAGCAAAAAGTACACAGACAAATGCTTAGTGTTCAGAAGTGAATATGTACACTATTACAATGTTGTGAAAAGTTGGTATTTTGGAGTTGCGGTGTTGTGAAGAAGAACTGGGTGGCTGCTTGTGTGTTTCACAGTGCTGTGCAAGGTGCGGGTGTTTCGTGTTTGGGAATCGTGGTAGTTGTCTCTGCTACTGCTTTGAAGTCTTAGATCCCCAGCTCTGCTTCATCTAATTTAAATTTTGATTATGATCTTCTAGTATATATGTTATTCAGAGTTACATTGCTGCACTTCCTGAAGAAGTGAAATAATGAGGAAGAAAAAAGTGTGGGGTTTGGTTTGGATTTTTTTTTTGCTGGGGTTAAATGAGTCCAAAGATTTAGGCTTAATATAGACCTCTTTTTTTTTCACTGGATTTACCTTGACAGGCTAGCAATTACCACATTTCAAACTACTTTTAAAATGTTATGTAAATGCGGGCTGGTTAGCATTTAACACTAGTTTTCAGTGTTTTGTATTTTTAGTATTATCAAGAGTATTTACAAATATTTATAGTATAAATGAAAATAATGTATAACATAGTAAATAAGTACTATATAATAATGACTACGGTATTAGTAGTATTATAAGTATTTAAAAATTAATATTTGTTAAAGTATAAATACATATGTTAATGTAATAATTTTTATATAGAATGGATACAAAGAAATATTAAAGCATGATGTGGTGAGCCCATTTCACTCACAGCTTTGTGCTGCTGCAGGCAGTGGTCTTGTCCTCACCTCATGCTTTTTTCTTGCGTTTTCTCTTGTGCTTGTCTGATCCCTCATTGAGATGATTCACTCACTGACCAGGTAGGAAGCTGATTGACAGGAGGAAAGTGAACTTTTGAAGCTGTAGTGAGCTGGTTTGGTTTGTGGATGGGTCACAGAAACAGCAGAAGATGAAAGGAGGTTGGAGTGGTGCTGTGTAGTCGGGCAAGGGAGCACATGGGCCAGTCCCTGGGTTTGGTGATGCGGAGCGGTCTTGTTGAACGGCACCCATACACTTAGGTTTCTTTAGAATTTGCCACTTTCCAAGTACTGTGCTGTGGTAGTGATCGTCTGGTTTCCTCTCTTAAGAAAAAGACTCTTTTTTAAAAAATTTTCCTAAGTACATAAGACAACACCGTGTTGAATTATTTGGAGTACAAATCAGATTGTTGTTGTTAATAAGCCTGATGAACAAATGAGACTTCTGTGATCTCTTTGCATATAAGTAAATTATCTGTAGTTTAAGTGCTTCCTGACAATTCCTGGACAATTTCTTACTATTCAGAAATTGGTTGCTCTGTTGTTGCAAGAGAGGACGTTTAGTTTTGTATTCAAGGCTGTTTCCATCAACTAAAGTTTGTGGCACATAGAATCTTGATTTTATTTTTTTGTAGTTCACCTTAACAGAAACAGATCCTCCAAAGTTTGCTGTCTGTCCACTGCTTTCTTACAGCTCAGAAGTAACCCCTTGCTACTATCTTTGAGTTTCTGTCTGCATTACCTCGGATAAACACAACAGGAAAAAAACAACCAACCTCATGGTAGTGTTGAGATGCTTCTTAAAGGTGTTAAGTTAAAGGTGCTGTTAATGTGTGTAATGCTGTTGATAAACACGTTAAACAAAAAATGCCATCAAAGCATGAAGTCCACTTTCAGTTACTCCTAGTTGTGTGTTTAACAGTCTGAAGAAAACAAGATGTTGCAAAGTGTTGTTATCAAGTATAATATGACTGTTTAAAGATGTTAAAGACAAAGATAACATCAGTAGAATAAATTCATGCTGTGTTTCTAAGCATCTTTGTTTTCCTCAGTCCTTTTTTCTCTTTATTTGCTCTGTTCTTTTGCAAGTAGGGTAAGAGTAGCAGTGTCATGTAAGGTGTACAGAATACAGAGGGTTAGAGAACCAGAATGATTGTTCAGAAATAAATGTAAAATACAAAAGTTGAGTATTTAAGTGTTTTCATAGTTTTTAGTGATGTCTTCAGAATAATAATTTTTAATATTTCACACAAACTGCTTACTAAGTGTTTGGTATAGATTCCCTTTTTACTAAGCTTAAGTTTCCTCTTTTTCTGTATAGCAAAATACAAATGAGCCGATTGATTATGGTGTGATGCTTGCTTTTCTTTCCAGAAAGATGAAGGTAGTGATGCTAGTTTGAGCGATAGCCACATATCTCCTCCCGCCAAACGTACCTCAAAACATGCTGATCCTGTGTGCAAAGACAAATCGAAATCACGCAGTACTGGGCAGCGAGAGGAATGGAGCATCTCAACTGGACAGTCCAGGTAACTCAGTGCCAACAGAGAACTGAAACCAATTTTTCCTGTGTTTTTAACCTGTCTACGATGTTTCTGCAGTGAGCTGCAGCTCAGGCTCAAGGGTGTAGTTTTGGAGCCTGTTATTTTCATGCAGTTTTCTTTTAGTTTAAGACTCTAGGAGCCTGGGTTACATCAGTCCTCTCATTTCTGTTTTCCTTCTCTGCAAATTTGTACAAAAACGAAAAGTAATTTTATTTGATGTGCAGTCTGAATTCCAGATTCTTGATACATCCAAATTTAGTGACTTAACTAGCACTTGAGCTATAATAGGACATGACATTTTAATTAGGAAATCAGTATTGTTCTCATCTTTGGTTAGTGGATAATGGTCAAGTGTCTCTTTCCATTGTCATTTTCAGACTATTCCTTGTTTGGTTATAAGGACTCAAGTAAATGACTGTATTTTATTAAATATAGCCTCAATCCATCCACATTTTCATAACTCAAAAGAGAAGTAATTTGTTTCATTTTATAACTCTGATTAATAATACTTTACAAAGCATTCTTGTGTTCATAAGGTTCTTCACATGATGACAAGTAATTATGTGAGACAGTGTAGACGATATGTGGCTGGGCCATGAACTTTCAGTTAATACTGATTCTTTTGCAGATAGGAATTTCATATTTATGTACGAATCAAAATTGTTCTTGCAATGCTTTGTACGTAAGAACGACTAATTCACTACTGGTCTGTCGTCTGCTAGGATGAAGTATATTTAAAACCTATGTAAATCTTAAAATGGGTTTATTTTTTTGTTTGTCTTTCCCTTTTAAAACAGAATAAATTAAATATAGCACATTATGTGCCAGTCATCTGGGAATGTATTGAAACTCATGCACCTTCTACTTCTTTTACAAGAGTAGACTTGCACTGTACCTACTAGAAATGCTAGGAGATTAAAATAATATTGAATGCAGCTGGGAGAATTCAGATCACTGTGTCAAATGAAGTTTGGCCAGGATACTGAAACTCATGCTGTTACTCATGTAGAATTCCCTGTGACATGTCTTTGCATCTGAGCTTTTTGTGTCGTTTTCTGCCAAAATCTGAAGCTCTGGGCCTAAAAATGATCTTGAGTTGTTAAGACGTTTCCCAAAAGTTTTGTTGCTAAACCTTTATTATAATCAAATTTCACTTCTTCAGTTGTGGTTTCTGAAATACTTAAAATATCTGACCAGAAAAATGTTATTAGAAAGTTGGATGTGGATGTGATTTTTGTAAATGTGGTTTTCTGTGTTGCTCCCCAGTCCTTCCAAAACATCCTTAGGTTGCCTTTGTTTTGTAAGGATTCGTTATACTTTTTCTTAAGAGAATAGTTGCAAAGCCCACATTTTCTGTGCCGCAGAGGTGAACTCTTTGTAGTCTGTTGAACTCTTGGTTGTGTTCAAGCTCAGATTGCATTTGCTATTAAGATTTCCCCTCTTTTTCTCTTTCTCATAGTATTCATTTTAGTTTTCTAGTTTGAGAACAAGGAATTCTCAAACTACAAAACTAGTAGGGATTAATTTTCCTAAAAGCTAATTTAAAAAAAATTTAAAATATCAGACTGATAAAGAACATGAAAATACTTTGTACAGATTTTAAGTACACCTAGCATAAATTAATCCCGATCTCTTCAGTTAGTAATTTTGTTAAATTTGTTCTTTGAGTACAAAACAGCTTTTTGTGCTTCTGCTGGTTTATCCATAGTGAGTGATAATTGCCTTTGAAGAGCATTACCAGGATCCTGTTTTGAAACTCAAGTTGGGAGTTCATGGTAGGACATGGTGTGAGGGAACATTGGACGGATTAATAAGAGATGTTTAGATAATTGAGGGCTTCACAGAATTGATATCTGGCAGTTTTGTCCTCATTCCAGTGTTGGGCATGAAGCAGAACCTACCTGTCACAATATTTTGAAGTCACAGTGCAACATTCTGTGTTTAAAGCTCTGTGTTCACGGATAACTTGAGTTGGCTGAGGAGGTTTATGGTTACTTGTGTGTCTGATTGCTTCCTAGGTTAACTTCTCAGCCTGGTGCTACACTACCAAATGGACGTAGCTTATGTAAGTGTATTACAGCAGACCTTTTGGTATCTCCTTTTACCGTGAATGATTTTATGTCAGTGATTTTCAGTTGCATGTATTTTTAATAACTTCACTGATTTCTCTGACCATTTTGACCAGAAAAGTTACTGTTTGGGCTCAGTTATTTTCTGTCCACATCTCGGATGGTCTCTGTGGTCATGGGGAACGTTCTTAGATGAAATTCCATTTCTCAATTCAGACTTACTTGGCCATGACCTTGCTGTTTTCCTTAATTGTCAAATTTACTGGTATGAACTAATTTTGGCCTTCTTCTCCCAGCTTGTCTCTTTAATTTATTTACTCTCTTTGCTCATTTAAAATTTGGCCTTCTGTGGTTCTTAACATTACTTAACTCTACTATTGCTTTACAGAGACCTGCCTTGTCTGCAGCTCCTGCTACCTTGAACAGTTTTCCTATGTGCTTGTTCCTTACAAACTTGCCATCTCGTTGCATATCTCAGCTAAACCCACTTTGTCTTGTGTGTCCCTTTTTCATCAGTTCTGTCTCTTTTAGTTCTCTGACTCTATGTAAATGTTAATTCATTAAGCAATTTTTGGTATTTATTGTTATTTATTGTGCCTGAGGAACAATCAGAAGTGGGATCCCATTTTGTTTGGCACTGTACAGAGTAGCTGATATAGATTTGCTTGCGAAATCAATGTGTTGTATCTGACCTTCTGTTACTGTATTTGAAAGACTTAAGAATTGAAACTGGGGGCGAAGTGTGCATTTTATTATTGATATCACCTTAAAAATATTGAATGGATGTTTGAATGCCAAATTTCCATTGTAGAATATGATTTTCGTATAAGGATTAAACTCAAGTTTGAAGAAATAGCTTGTAAAACAACTTTCATAGGGATTTTAGAAAAGTGTTTCTTCAGTGAATAGTGCTCACACAGTGCTCTGTAGTAACTTTTGGTTTATTGTCCTTGCGAAGTATTCTTTTACTAATTCTTGTTTGTGAAAATGTTGTTTCCTGCATTTTGAAGTAGTAATACAAATTTCTCTTAGCTCTCAAAAGCCATCCCCTTCGAGGGGAAAAAAAGGGAGATGGGGACCATGCTTGCATAAACGGAGATATAGAAGTCAGAAAAAGTTGTCGGTCCAGGAAAAACAGATTTGAAACTTTGAATCAGAGTTTATTGTTTGATCAGCTAGTAAACAGGTATGTGGGGATACTTCAGTTGTATTCACAAAGCATCTGAATGATTTTTTTTAGAGTTGGAAAACCCTGTCTTGCAGTGCTGTTTGTGTGTTTACTGTGGGGATGTATTGGCGCCGGGGCAAGCTGGGTTGTGGTTGACTTACAGGCTGGGTCCTGTGCTGTAACTGCCGATGTTATCCACGCTCTAAATGCAAAGCAGCTTAACCAGGCTTTCATTGAGGAGTGAGCTACTCTGTGTTTACACCTGGATAAATCTCTGTATGGTGGCGGTTATTGCAGAGTGGCTGATGTAAATGTGTAAATGTGTAAATCCACACCCTAGCTCGTTTCTTATAACCTGTTTATGTAGTGATACCTTAAATGTGATGTAAATTGGTGATGAGCCACAGTGCTCGGAAGTTTTCTAGATTTCGCTTGTATGATTTTGATCATAAAGTATCAAAAGTTTGTAGCTGTCATTGTTTTTGTTTTTGTTTTTTTACCATCTGTTAGTAATTCACATAGGGTGGGTGTCACTCTTTGGCATTTTCTGTGCAGACAAAGTAGGTCAGAGCAAGGGACAGTCTGGTCTGAGCATAGGAATGGGAGCCAGAAATACTTTTCTTCAAATATTATTTCTGAGTGACCCTGGCCAGGTCACTCACCATGTCTCAGTTTTCCCACCTGTAAAATGGGTTTCAGCAGTCACATCTGTGAGAGACTGCTTGCTCTAGTACTTGGAAAATGAATTAAACATAAGCATTTAATTGCCAAGTATGATCTTTATTGCTAAATGTATTCTGTTGAATCTTTTATTAATTTAATTTTTAATTTACTCAGTAACTACTCAGTATCCATTTAAAAACTTATATTGAGTTACATTTATTTTTCTAGTTGCAGTTGAATCTCCCTCTCCTCATCAACAATAGGAAAAAGTCTACCATGAAGATTGTAATTTGATAAGATCATGGTACTGGAGTCTGTATATGAACTTATGCTGATAACAGTGTGTGCCATAAACACTGGAGGTTTTTAAGAACAGGTTAGACAAATGTCAGGAATGATTTAGGAATTGTGGTTTGTTCTTGCCTGACAGAGCAGGTGGCCTTTTCCAGGTCCCCTCCAACCCTATTTTTTTTGATAGTGAACTATAGCATAGTTTTACTTGAAGTGGTTATGTCACACGTCACAGATATTTTAAAATGGTTTAAAAGTGAGGGACGCTCATAATGAAATCTTGACTTTACTGTCTTCTGTCATCAGAACTTCCAGTGACTTCTTTCAAGGCAGGATTGCAGCCTTTAGTTTTAATTTTAAACACCTTTAAAGAAAGGGGGTGAAAGTTTCAGCCTTCTTACAATTACTCTACAATTATAGTAGAATTCCAGGGGAAATCTACCATAATTGCCATAGAGAGCAGTAACTTGGTGTTCAGGACAGGTTGCCAAATAACTGACTTGGCCTGGCTACTACTCTCTTGTTTGCTTCCTTAGCAATGAAGCATCTTGGCCAATATTATTACTTACACACCAGCGTTGTTTTGACAGCTGTTTACAAATACTTCAGATAATGAAAATGTAGACTAGATAGAGGTAGAGTAGTGAGGTCAAATAATGAATAATAAAATTCTAGGTGTTACTGATTTAAAATTAAAAAAACCCAATCCCAACATTTCTGTGTTAGTGTCTTTTTGAGGCCAGAGTAAGAAACTGTAAAGCTTTTGAGGTGCAAGCATTCATTGCTTTCCCAGCACCCTAATTATGTAGGTAAAAAGCTTTGCTTTCTTATTCTGCAAACTTAATATTTTCTGACACTTTTCTGACTAATCTAACACTTAAGCAGTTAAAAATTTACGTGCCACAATTTACACTAAGCAAAACGTGGGGTTTTTTAAAATGTTTTTAAGATGTTTCAGCCTGATGTAATCTCTGAATTTAAATAGCATCAGCATTTCTTCTTTTGCATACTCTAGTTTATATTCTATAGGTTCATCTTTCAGTTTTCTTTATTATAGTTGGCTTTGTAGTTAATTGGTAGATTCAAGTAACTCTCCTGAAATTTTCACATTTTAATTCATACATATATTCAGTTGGCTCGTAGATCTGGGAATAGCCACAACAGGCCATAGAATTAGATCTGTGAAGTTGTTGGATGCCATGTATAAAGTTCTGCATGTCAGCTATTTTAAGGCTGACTTTTTTTTGTGTTAACTGTTGCATCTATTTTAGTACTGCTGAAGCTGTCCTACAGGAAATGGATAATATTAACATCAGGAGGAATAGGCGGTCTGGAGAAGTGGAACGGCTACGAATGTGGACAGACACAGAATTTGTAAGTGGAGAATGTCTCAGGTCTCGGATAAAAGTAATATCAAGGGGGAGCGTGTTTGTTTTTACAATCTCCAAACTTTTGTCTCTAGCTGTATTGGAAGGTTTCAGATCCTCAGTGGATAACATAAAAAGCCTGATAAACATAAATTCAGATATATACTAAATCATGTTTTCTTTATTGATGAATTGACTGCCATGCTTTTATGCATGCATCTTACTTTCCCACCTGTTAAATGAAACTGCTTTTGTAGTCCACTAGTGGAAGGCTTTTTTTGGAAAAAGACTTGAGGACTAGAGATTGTGTGGGGTATTACTTACTGAACTGTGGGCTAACACCGGTGACATGGGACAGTACTGATGGGAGTGTATGTGAATTTCATTCCAGGAAAACATGGATATGTATTCTCGAGTAAAAAGAAGAAGGAAATCACTGAGGAGAAATAGCTATGGGATTCAGAACCACCATGAAGTATCCACAGAAGGGGAAGAGGAAGGTATGGGTTGTAAAGAATTGTAAAGGTTTGTCTGAAATACTTATAAAAAGGGTCTCCTCAACAGAAGATAATATATTGCACTACAGAAAGTAATTTGGTTTTGGATCTGGATTTGGAGTTATTAAATAGCCCAATTAACAAGACTACTGCAAGTAGGTAGACACTGAAAGATTGCTCTTCAGAAGGGGAAGTTTTAGGGATCTTTATGTAGTTTTCTTTAAACGAAAGCAAGTTCATCTGAAAGTAGCAGAACAAAGCGTGGTTTCTAAGCGTTTATATCCTATGTTCCCTTACTCCTGTTTGTTTTAACACTAAATAATTGGAGGTTGCTTTATATTCCCTGTAGCAGTCCTCTGGTGGAAGCCAGGATGTGATGCATGTTGTCTACAACTATGCCTGTTCTCACTGACTCGCTATTTCTCATGTGCTGGGTGGCAGTTACCAGAAAGAATGTGTAATAGTCAGTTCTGCATCCTTCCTTTGGGGAGAGTGCTAATTAAAGTCTCTGTTTTCTGTCCACCCACTGAATTTTAGAAGACTTGTAGACACACAACTGTATTTTAAATTCTACCTTACTTTAAAAATCTGGATGAAACTGGCCAGTGATTTCAGAAAGTATTGAGAAAGAAGGGATTGTGGTTAACTTTGATGGCATGATCAACAGCATGCTTGGCTTCCTTAAGAGATCAGACTCAAGCTTCAGGGATCCATACAGGGTTCAGTGTAGTGTGTCTCAATTTTGAACTGAAACTGCTGTAAGAGGTATGGTCTGACCCAGTTGCTAGGAATACATCCTTAATTCTGAGATTCATGGATGGAAATTCTGATCCTGTTAATAGATTGACCTAGGTGGTACCTTTATACAGTGTCTTTATTTAATTAGTATAAAAATGATACTATGAATCGTAAAGTTGTACTTATTTTCATGCTGTGTCAAATATATGATTTTTCTGAGGCTCTTACGAGAAAAGAGAAGAAAGGCATTGTTCGTAATTGGAAGGATAATTATTGAAGGAATAATATAGTGAATAGAAATGATATTTGAAGTACCTCACAACTAAAACTAATATGACTACATTTACTTTTCTATGTTGCTTTTCCAGAACCTTGTGTGGGAAACTAGAAGGAAGGTTGACAATGTGCTGTAGATTTATCTTGGTCTTCAAATTTCCAGTGATTTGCCAATTGGTCTTAATTAATAAGAGAGGAATAATTCTCAGTGACCATTAAAAGGTTAATTTTTAGGATAAAGATAGCTCTGGCATCAAGTAGAAGTGTTGTGACAGTATTTCTCTCCCCCCCCCCACCCCCAACAGAGTCTCAGGAAGAAGATGGAGATATAGAAGTAGAAGAAGCTGAGGGAGAGGAAAACGATCGGCCATATAATCTCAGACAGAGAAAAACTGTTGAAAGATACCAGGCTCCTCCAATAGGTGAGGAACTAACAGCGCTCGTGTGGTTCTGCTCTGCTGACCTTCAAGAATACTGTGGTTGTGGGAAAGGAAAAGTTGAATGATGATTACTTATCCTTGACAGAGTTACCACGCAGCACTTCATGACTTCCATCTTGCCTCTGTTTTTGTTCACCATGTGAATACAACTACGGAGACGCAATCTATCAATGTGTCACGGTGGTGGCATTGCTAGTGTGTGCTGCCTCATTGAACTGGGCAAGTACTGCCATGTGCTGGGCTCAGGGTTGGAGGTGAACAGGATTTAGGTCAAGACATAGTTGACAGAAGTTGAGTTCAGAAAGCAGTCTAATAAATGAGGTAACTGCATGGGAAAAACAGTTTGTTATTCCCACTTCTCTTAAGCAGTAAGCTAATTTGTAACTGTAGATAGATTGCATAGCAGCAGTTACCACATTCTGCCTAGATGAGAAATTTAGAATAGTTCAGTTGGAAGAGACCTACAGTGGTCATCTGGTGCAACTGCCTGACCACTTCTGAGCTGACCAAAAGTTGAAGGATGTTTTTAAGGGCATTGTCCAAATGCCTCTTGAACACTGACAGGCTTGAGGCATCAGCCACCTCTCTAGGAAGCCTGTCCTAGTGTTTGACTACCCTCTCAGTAAAGAAGTGCTTCCTAATGTCCAATCTGTACCTCCCGTGGTGCAGCTTTGAGCCGTTCCCATCCTGTCACTGGATCCCAGGGAGATCAGCACCTCCCTCTCCTCCTCAGAAAGCTGAAGAGAGCAGTGAGGTTGCCCTTAGCCTCCTTTTTTCCAAACTAGACAAACCCTTGTCCTTATCTGTTCCTCACGGGACATACCGTGAGGGATCCATACAGGGTTCAGCATAGTGTCTTGATTTTGAACCTTGAACCTTCTGTTTAAAGTAATGCATTTTGTGCATATTTGGTTCTGATTACAGTGATGTATGTGGTGTGCTGTATCTTAAGACAACTTGGAAATTAAGGCTGTGATATAGAAATGCTGTGGGTTATTTGTTAAGACAAATTTCAAGACCTCCTATGTTATCAGCTGTGAAGAGGTTTCTGTATGGAGTTTCATGTCTCGCAAATAAACCAAAAATGCTAGTGCCCTTGATGAATTGCATTCTGTGCTGTGATAGCCATAGCTATTAATTGAGGGGCCTGAGGGTGGAATTCCTGTGACTGTATCAAGCCAAGTATGGTGACAGTGAAATAAAGCATGAAAGTTTTTATTTTTTCCCTCTGCCCCCTCCAGTTCTTGAGTTGAGCTTTTGGAAAAACCAGCGATAACATTATTGGAAAAGCAATAATCTAGCACTTTTATGCTGCATCTAGATTATTTTACTATTCTTTTGTAATTGATATTACAGACCTTTAAATTCTCTTATTCAGTGCCAGCTCATCAAAAAAAGAGGGAGAATACACTGTTTGACATTCACAGATCTCCTGCAAGAAGAAGCCATATCAGGTAAATGTCAGTCTTTGGGTACGTAGTTGTTTGCTTTCCCTTAGTACATTTCTGTTAGCTTTTGATTTTCAAAACATTCTTGAGTGAGTTGTGCGGTTCATTCACACACTTGCGTGGGCCTTGAATTGCATCTTAGGTTCAGATCCCGATCAGCGTACAAAAATGGATTTCATAGCACTTCATAATACCAGTAGAAGCTTTGTGATAAACAGAATGGAAACAGGTATGCTGCAAGTGCTGGAAAGAGCTGCACATTGCACACTGTAGCTTTTTCTGTAAGGGTGTATGTTTTGTGTTTAGATCCAAAGCAGCAGTTTAAAAAATATGCCATTTCTATTCAACAGCATTAAACGAATCAGGGTAATGTTTTTTGTTTTCTCTCAATTCAGATTTCATCGAAGTAATATTAACAGTTTAATAAAATAATTGCCAAGCATAATTTTTAGCTCTTATCTTTTGTGTCAAAGAAGTCTGGAATACATCAGGTTGTCTTGGAAACTGTTGATAGATCAAAGCTTAATACTTTTTTTTAAAAATAAACTTTCTCAAAACTTCCAAAAGATAAATCTGTCCATGAACAGAATCCAGGTAAATGAATCCTAGTCTCAGCTGAAACACTTGTCTTATTGCTTAATTTAATGGCATAGTGAAAACATAAGTTTCTTTGTAATATAAATAAAAACATTTAATTTTGAAGAGCTGCCTTCCCCCCCCTCCTTAAAGTGCATGTGCTCATTGCTCCACTCTGACTCTATCTCTTCTTGTCACGATGCTGTTGTAAGAATTCTTCATATTTGCATGATATTCTTTGATATGATTTTAAACGTGTCTTAATTTTTGGTCATTGAACAGTAAAACTGATTGACCATGTTAGTCTTTAGGATAAAACAGCTAGTCAGTGCATTATTGTGTTCATTCAAATGATGCAGCTCCCTATATTCACTAAAAATAGTTGAATTTTTACTAATAGCCAACTCTTTCATGCACAAGAGGACCGAGTCTTTCAAACTGATATGGAACCAAACACCTTTTTGTACAGAAGTTGTAATGTACATTCTCTAATATTTCTGAAATACTCCTTTCTGAATATTGTCATAGTAAAATAAGGAATGATGTATGCAGACTTTGAATAGTAATTTAATGTAGATTCAGATCAGAAGTTTAACTGCAGTACAGGTGTTCTGTGAAACTGTTCTGCTGTTCAGAATTAATGATCTTACAAAAAGCGACCATCTGCTTTAGGAAGTGTGGAATTTTTTCAAAGTATATTTAAAGAGAAGCATGAAACTGAGTTAGGAGATCTTGATTATTCTGGTGTGTTGGAGCTGACTAAAGGGGTGGGAAGCTCCTCTTAGTGCAGTTGCTGTCTGATTAACATTAGCAGCTTATTGGTTGAATATTTAATCACACTGGCTGAGGTAACATGGACTGGACCACATATCTTATTGAGATCTACTGTTTTAGTGATGTTCATGTTGAAATTGGCTGTCCCTGTGGCAGTAGAAGATGTTGTTCCCCTCCCAGATTATTTTGATACTTACTTAAAACTACAATTGACATGCATCTTAGACCAGATCAGTACTGTACTTGCTGTTTCAATTTTATTTTTATAAAAGAGTCAAAACATGTTGTTCTACTGCAAAAAGGACTGAGTTTTATGTTTATTTTGCTACTTCAACAGGAGAAAGAAGCATGCTATTCACAGCAGTGATACAACCTCTTCAGATGAAGAACGTTTTGAAAGAAGAAAATCTAAAAGCATGGCCAGAGCAAGAAATAGGTATCAAAACATCCTTGGTCTTTAAGAGGGTTTGATTTCATAATTCAGTAGAAAACAAGCAGAACTATTCTGTAATGTTCTACCAGTTCTGCAGACTTCCTGATCCTGCCTGTGATTGTCTGCAGACACAGTGTAAGTGGATTGTTGGTTATATATTAACATAGATTTTGAAGTCTTAGGAGTAGATAATTAACATTAGTGATAAATAGGGTGGAAAGATAAGAATATCTGATTCAGTTGGGTTGTAAGATAACCAACTTCTGTCAGTTAAAATGGATTTTTGTTCTTGTGTTACTTGTTAGTTCAGTTTTACTCCCAGTGCTAGTTCTTATTCTTCTCTCTTCCTGTTGTGTAACGCTATGTGCATTTTGCACATCCAACACTTTTTTTTTAACCTTACATTTATTCACCAGTTATCTAAAAGTGGGAGATGTAGAAGGTATACCAGTAAATTTACTTATTGCCACAGATAAATTAGTTGGAAAACTGAACAGAAAGTGTTTCCTCATCCTTCTTTTTGCATCTTGCTGTCTGCCACACCATTCCTTTTTCCAACCTGAGGGATTCTAAAGGTGTGCAGCTACCAAAAGTGTCATTCTGAGTGTAACCTATATCTGACTGGTAGCTTTCTTCCTCTCTTTCAACTCTGTGTTTGACCTGACATAATATCTGTGTAGGGGCTTAAAGCTTCTTTGTATACATGGAGAAGCTGGAACTGGTAGATGTATGTTATGTCTGATCTGCAAGAAATGTTTATTTCCTTTATTTGGACTCCAATGAGCTATATTCTTAAAAAGTTATTTTCTTTTTCTTACCATATCATTCAGTTCGTCACTGCCAAGGGAGAGTTCTCTTCTTTTGGTCAATGTTATTTCTACTGTGTTTAATCAAAATACTCTGTCCAACTTAGTTCTCCAGACTGAAATATCTGTATGGAAGCATAAAACTTTATATTTAAGAAATTTACAGACATACAAGAATAATTACCACAACAGAAAAGTTGGTTTTGATAACCTTTATTATTCCAGGAAGGTCATCTCTTTAGGGAGTAGAGGGCATTTAATCTCTTGGTTCTTCCTATTCCAGCAAAATGATTCAAACAGAACAATGTTTATTTGGTGTTTTGGTGTTTTTTTTCTTTTGGTTGGTAAACAGGTGCCTGCCTTTGAACTTTAGAGCAGAAGACTTAGCTAGTGGAATCCTGCGAGAACGTGTGAAAGTTGGGGCAAGTTTGGCTGATGTCGACCCTATGATTGTTGATAAATCGGTAGGTTTTGTTAAAGATTGTTTTCCTTCCTCCAATTATGTGTAAGCAGAGTTCTCCACAGACTCATTAGAGCTGAAGTAAATTTATCTTTTTTGACTCTTTTCCAGAACTGTTGTCTGTTATTTCTTTGGGCTACAAAGCACTTGCTTTTGGTCTGGATGTAATCAACAGGCTGCATACATATCATAAATAAGCCTAAACTTCAATTGCCCAACTGTATTTCTTTGTTTACATTTAGTTTGTGGTTACTTGTAGAAACTGGGATATGCTGAGCAGTAGAGAAAGTGGAAGTACTGACCTCCTGGGTGGGTTAAGTCGGTCTTAGCCACATAGGTCCTGTGCCTCTTTGGAAACGATGCACTTTAGTTTGTGTTGTGCAGAAGCTGCTGAATTATTACTAAGACTGAACCATTTTCCATGTGAACATAAGGAAAAACTTTTTTTTACTGTAAGGGTTACAGAGCACTGGACCAGGCTGCCCAGAGAGGTTGTGCAGTCTCCTTCTCTGCAGACATTCAAAACCCGCCTGGACGCATTCCTGTGTGACCTGGTCTGGGTGCTCCTGCTCTGGCAGGGGGGTTGGACTGGATGAGCTTTTGAGGTCCCTTCCAACTGCTAATATTCTGTGATTCTGTGACTTTCAATAAGTATGTTAACTATATTCATATTATGCTGTGCCTGAGCTTAAAAATGCTCTCAGGCTTAGACTGGATCTCTGTAGATGTCCGGGCATCCCTGGTGCAGTTAACTTGTGAACTGGATGAACCTCATGTGGGACAGCCAAGAGTTGCCTTTCCCAACTTACTTTACACTTTCAAAATTCAGGGAACTCCTGATGATCAATGAAATGTTGCTTGTAATTTGTTTTCAAATACGTTATTTTATAAGTGAAGGTACTTTTGTGGAAAGCCGTTACAATATATGCTTTATATGCTTTTTTTTCCCCCCTAAGGTTCGTTTTGATAGTATAGGGGGATTGAGCCATCATATCCTTGCACTTAAGGAAATGGTAGTGTTTCCTCTTCTCTATCCAGAAATATTTGAAAAATTCAAAATTCAACCACCAAGGTAGGTATATTTACTCTTATTGTTGTATTTTATTTTATTAAGCTCTGAAGAATACTTCACTTGAAAACACATAGGAGATTGATTCTTTCCCTGAAGTGTTTCTAGTTCAAATACTTACATGTTTGCTACCCCACTTGTCTATCAGAATGTAATGTGCGGGATGAAGCTACAAAAAAATCTAGTTTATTTTTCTTGTGGTAGGAAGGTAAACTTTGTGATTTGGTTACAGAAAGAATTCTCAAGTGTTCCTGCCTTTTTTTAAATTGTGTTATCAAATATTTTACTAAATCAAGCTAAATGCTGATGTTTTTTATAGAAGTAATGTCAATAATGTTACATTTTTAATATTTATTAGCCAGGCACCTTGGTGTGTGGTTTAAATGGGTACACATATGAAAATTTGGGGATATTTTTGCCATTTAAAGGAAATATGTTTCTCAAAGAAGTAATGAAAACTGACTCTAGTATTACCAGGGTTTAAATATTTGAGAAGGTATTTAACTAGTGTAAGACAATAATTTGGGAGCTTACTATGCCTTTGATTAATGTTCTCTACCAAAGCAAAGATTTACTGATTTGACAGCATAAAAACCCTTTAGATTTTATGAAGTTATGTTGAATATGCTAAATAATGATACTAGAACTTAAGTCTTTCTTCTCCGGGCTCCCTGTCTTCATCATAAAATTTGACTTGGAGTTTTTCAGGAGACATAAAATAAGTTTGTGACTGTGTTGATCCATTTATCTTCAGGGGCTGTTTATTCTATGGTCCTCCTGGAACAGGTAAAACCTTGGTAGCTAGAGCTCTAGCTAACGAATGCAGTCAAGGAGACAAAAAGGTGGCTTTCTTTATGAGGAAAGGAGCAGACTGTCTCAGTAAGTGGGTTGGTGAATCTGAACGTCAGCTTCGACTCCTTTTTGATCAGGTTAGAAGAAAATACATATTTTTCTTATGTCTCTGTATATTGTATGTTTGTGTTCTGAGCAGCCAGAATTAATTGCAATTGAATTGAAATAGCTGTAAGTTTCCATCGATTGGGCAGGATTTATCCCAATTACATATGTAAATGAAGAAATAGAGGCTTGCTGTGAAAAGTTTTTCTTGCTCTGAAAACTGAGAGAAAGAACTCTTTCAACTTGTCTACTAATGAAGCAAAGTAGTTTGAATAAAAATTGATATAAATATTCAAATTAGCCAGTTTGAATTTGGCTGGCATTTCAAGATAGGTACTGCGTAGAGGAGGATGTGCGATTGCATCTGCAGTGTGTATATTTTAGTATCCTTACTTGGCTTAGAAAATTATAGAAGAGAGCGTCAAATAGAGCAGTGAAATGTAATTGCTCAAACAAAAGCTCTTTTCAGACACGGATGTCTAAACAAACGAGTTGTGAGCAGATAAGATACTGTTTTCTGTAACTGAGTATAAGGTGTCTCAGTTCGTCTTGATTCTCTCCACACAGTAAAACTGATACACTGGTGCCATCTTGCTTACTCAAAGGAGAATGCAGTCTTTTTTCGCTTTGAAACAGTGCTGTAGTTGAAAGTGCGGTTTTAGTTTCAGTCTGTGCACTTTTTAACAAAAGGTTTTCAATATATGTGTTAATTTAGCATGTTAATGCTTTGTAAGAAAAACAGACTGTTTTCTGTGTTGATGGATAAATGATGAATTAACAGCGAATTATTTTTTTTCTGCATACCAGGCATACTTGATGAGACCCTCTATAATATTTTTTGATGAAATAGATGGCTTGGCTCCAGTTCGTTCTAGTAGACAAGATCAGATTCACAGGTAAGATTTCTCATATGCTGCCATTATCTTGGTGTATACTACGTGATCTTTCTAAACTGTTAAGTGTACTTTTGCTCACGTCCCGAGAAAGGTTTGTACTTTTGCTTAAGCACGCTTACACCAGAAAGGGCAGATGGTTGAGATTTTTTTGGTGTCGAAAGTAATTTTCTCAGTTCTTCAGACTGTAATTTGCTGGGATTCGGGTTGTAGTGGAGGTTACCCTTCACCCACATTATTAAATTCAAGATTTCCATGACCTTCCCTTTGGCTGCTTGTTTTGTACGGTAAACAGATTGTCTGTTACCAGCCCAAAAAACTTTATTCTAAAATGAAGAATGGCGATGGTCTATGAACAAACTGAAACCCCTGCCCCTTACATTCTGAATGGAGTGATGTGCAAATTTATCTTGAGTTGCTACTGTGTCATTTTTTTTTTTTAACTTTTTTGTACAATCGTTTATTGTTGGCTGAAATTTTTCCTGGCTGCCTTCAATCTCAGTTTTGCTGCACTTTTTATGGCAATGCACTTCTGTCTTTCATTTTATAGGTGGTGGGATTTGTGTGTGTATGTCTCCCTCCACTCAACTGAGATGGGCTTGGTGCTACAGTTGCGCTAGACAGGACAGCGCATGACTTCCTGAGCTGACGTTCCCCAAAACTTTTAAAGGAGGAAGTTAGAATGTAATGTAGTCCTTACTGGAGTCATAATACTGAGTATAATACAGATTATATCAAAAGGTTCCTTCTTGCTTTGGGACTTGAAACAGTTAGCCAGCTGTTTTCTTTTTAAACTTAGCTTTTTTAACTTTGAAATGATGAATGTTGCAGTTGAAAATTCTTGCAGCGTTCCCTATATATATATATATATTTTAAAACTCTTTTAGCTCTATAGTGTCTACTCTTCTTGCCCTCATGGATGGACTGGATAATAGAGGTGAAATAGTTGTAATTGGTGCTACAAACAGACTGGATTCTATAGATCCTGCACTCAGGAGACCTGGTCGCTTTGACAGGGAATTTCTTTTCAACTTGCCCGATAAAAAGGTAAAGTGTACAAAGGAGACTTATTAAGAAACATTTCTATTATATTAAACATTTGAAAGCCTGACAACCAAACGTATGAAATAAAAAAAAGTGTTCTTACTTGTAAGAATGTTTAATTTTAGGAAGACATTTTTACTAAAAATGCATCATAAAGTGGTATTGAACTTTAAATCTTCAGAATTTAATTAGAACTAAACAGAGAGGTAAATTGAGTTAAAGTGAATTACTTACCTAAAAGTTGTGGTTTTGTGTGGATTTGTATAATAAGCCCTAACTATTGGGGTTTTGGATATTATGGGAAGAAAAACTATACATGCAAAACCAGACAGTATTGTATTGGCAACAGGAACACTTCAGTTCATTTTTCTAGACTTCTATGAACTCAGCCATAATATTTCCTGAATTTTTACTTAAAATCAACTTTACATTGCACATTGATAGGTGTATATGGAATTCCAAACTGAAATGGTTTGGAATTCGTGTGTATGGAGCGTGCTATTCAGCAATAAATTGGTGAAGCATTTGGCAGAAGAAACTGTTAATCATAGGCAGAGCAAATTAAAGTTAAATTATAAAATTATGATAATTCCTAGTAGAATATGACTTTTGATCAGTTCATGTATAATAAAGTTTTTGATTAAACAGCAATTAAAACGTGTAACCAGTATACAGAAAAATTTACTGCTTATATATGAAATTAAAAAAACATATTAAATAAAAAATTAAACTTTGCTCTTGAGAGACATTTGAGTGCTAAGTTCTATTTTATGCATCTCAGTGACATGTCAGAAACAGGTGAAATAGCTTTATATTCAGATGAATAAATAATACTTTTGTCTAAAATACTATGATGTGGATTTGGCTTGCTAGTTTTGATTTTTTTTTTCTTCTTCTTTTTTCCCTTTTTAAAAAATCAGGCACGAAAGCACATTTTACAAATTCATACCAGAGATTGGAACCCCAAATTGTCAGATCCTTTCCTAGGAGAACTAGCTGAAAAATGTGTTGGTGAGTGTTATGTTAGTACTTCTCCTGTAGATGTTTTCTCTTCTGTGTAAAACTTGGAAAGTATGATAAATGTATTTTTACCTTTCTAAACTTCTCTACTTCCAACAACATTCTTTTTTTGCAATAACAAAATACGCTTCTGTCTTACTAAAATACAAAATGAGTAGCTGGTAGTCGTTTGAAGAGTCATGTCTCCTTTCTGTAACCTCACTGTCCTTATGTAAGATCTATACCCTCAAAGAGAAGCAAAATGAAGTGGGGGTTGGAATCTTTAGGTAGACATCCCATTAAAATAGAATATTACAGAAGAGATAAGGGGGTTTTCCTCTATCCTCTTATGGAGGGGGAAAAAAACCCAGTACTCGTTCTTTGTGTGTGTTTGGTTTGTGGGTTTTTGTTCTGTTTTTACTGACTGGCATGCTCTCCTCTGACAGAAATCCAACAAACTAACCAGCCTTTCTAAAAGTGAATTTTTTCCCAGATTACTAGCACAGAACAGCCCCAAAGTGTAGATAGAAGTAGGGGGACAAAAGTGCACCACAACATGAGTACATTAAAAATGCCTTTGGAGCGCCCAAAGACCTGCTGTACTGAATGGAGGATGGTTGTTCGAGATAAACCTGCTGCTTAAAAGCTAATCAGAATAAACCCAAATATTTTTATAGTGAATTTAACAGAGGAAATGACCCTAAATCACACACCACAGTCTCTTCTCAACAATTTGTCATGCAAAGATGCATCCTCTGTCAGTCATCTGCTTCGACAAGCACTGAAGTTCTCAGAAAAAGGACGGTCTCAAATATCTGTGCATTGGAATCCAGCATCACAGAAATAAGAACTTTAAATTGAACATCAGTCCATTCAGTCAGCTACAGTACATCCGAATTATCCTCTTCATCCACAGGGACATCTACCATCGAAGCAGCATCCCTCCGCTTTTGATGCACAAAGACCTCAACATCTTCTGGTGAGGAGAAAACATAACTATCCAGCAAACTCCAGTTTAAGCTTTGCCGGGTATAAGACAGCATGTGCCAACCCATTTCATGTCAGTTCTGCTTGATTTGTGCAAAGACGTGGTGGTGCTTAGTGGGAGAGAGGGGAGTAGATGGGATAAACCCCAGTTGTTTCTTTGAAAGTTCACAGTATTTTTGCATTGAGAACACAATTACGTATTTTTAAATTGTACATCATAGGGAAAGCCATTTGTGGGTTTGACTGGAAGATGTTCTTTGCGCTCAGGAAAGCCTGTCAGTTCAGTGGAAAAGTCAGCTAACAAAATGAAATACCCTTTTCTGTTTTCTTTGGCTTTCCTACGTTCCAACTACTGGGCACTTGATTGTCTTCGTTCTGTATCCTGGAATTTAAATGTTTCCTACATCCAAGATTAAAACCTTTTGACAAGGTCTTTTTAAACCAGCTGAAGTAAGACTGATTTATCTTCTTTGTCTTGAGATTGCCTCATCATTTCTGTAAGTGAAATCTGCAGCAGCTAATGATTTAAACAGACTTTCCACATTCTTTGTGGCCATTGCAAATTGGACTCATTGAAACGGTATTGCTACCGGTCTGCTATTTCCTCTGTGTGCAGGTTTTCTCTAAAAAGAAACAACACCCCCCAAACCACCACCCTTTTTTCTCCAAGTAAAACCTGCCTAGACTCAGGAGGCTTTTCACACAGCGTGGTTTATGCTTTTCTCCAGTTCTGCAAACTTGGCAACACTTAACTACAAACGTCTTGATCCCAATGAAGAAAACTGAAATACTACCAAAGTAAATGACTTTGGGGAAGCAGGTGTATATGCAACTCAGAACTTTTTAAGATCCAGGGCTGTAATTATAAAGAAATTAGAAGGGAAAAGCCCCAGGACCTGCAAAAACTAGGTCATTTCCTGAGGGTTGTTTTTTTTGTCCCAGGTGTAATGGATTGCATACCTTTTAGGAGATTATGTATATGAGAAATAAAGAACCCACTTCACTGCATGGCTGCACAACTGCAATGTGTGTGAGACGAAGTGAAGCAGCTTGAGGAGAGCGTGGAATTGCTCAGAAGACCAAACACTAATGTCTTATTAGTGCCTTCCATAAACACAAGTAATTATTAGGTTTTTTTCTCCATATTGGAGATGGGTCCCAGATATCCTCAACTTCAGAAAGCCTTTCTTATCTTTTGTGCTTACTCTGTTGTTCTGAATGAGAACTTTCTGTAGGTAGAGAGACTGTTACCTATCAACTCACTCATGTAGGAAACAAAACATACTAGCAACTGCAAAAGTGTGAATTCCTCCATCTGTCATCTTGCAGATGAATCTCTTTACAGTGTAATAAGTGTTACCTAAAGTTAAATAGGCTTATAAAGAAGCTGAAGATGCTTGTTAAAAATACTCCTACTCTGTGCTTATTATTGAAGGAGAATTTTATGGCAAAATAGCATCTTGTTAGATTTTTCTTTCCCATCCTAATGTAATGATGGAGGTGAAGTTTAGTGTACATGTTTTTCACAATCTTTTAAAAAAAACCATGGTAGTTATTTTTCATTTCTGTTATCATGCCAAGTTGTTCACTAACTCCCTTTCCCTGCAGTCCACTTTGGGAGTTGTAGGAAGTTGCACGGTGTAAATTCAAAGAAGTGGTTAAGATTGTGTCACCCAGTTCAGTAGCAGTTGTACATTTTGGGGGTGGATTTTAGACAGAAGAAATTTTTAAGAGGACATAATTTCTGCACAGTGGAGGTGAAAGAGTATGGCTTTAAAATTTCAGTGATCAAAGTGCATTCTTTGGAAACCTGTATGGGAACTCACTTGTTTTCTTTGAAACTGTTCAGCGGAGTGTGTTGGTGATGGGTAAAACAAAATGGGCTGCTTGACAAGAATACCTGTTCTGTGGTCAGTTAAGGTGTGCCAGTACATTCTTGCCTGCTGAATTGAACACCCTTTGTGAGATGCTTATAAAATAAAAGTAAATGAACTGAACATTGATTTTTGTATTACAGCGTCAATTTGGGCAAAAATAAATTCAGGTTGTTTCCTGTTGCCGTGATACACTTTATTTTGCTTTGACAATACTTTACTCGTGTTTTTCTTCCAGTTAATCAGTGTGCATTTACTTCTTAGAAATAAAAAGCTCTTAAGTGCTTTACAAGATACAGAATTTTTGCAGTTTTCCTGTCACTGAAATGGATGTACAGTATGCACAAGAGAGTCCCTCAAAAAGAGACACCAATTATTAGTCTTCAAATGTAATTGCTCCTGAGAAATGAGAAGTAGAAATGGAGACTAATTGTGTATTTGATCACCTGAGAATTTAATTTTAAAAATAGGCTGCAGGCTATTATTTCCTAATTTTGCAATTCTTTGGAGATATACAAGCGGTGATTAAAATGACTGTTAGAAAGTGATATTACAGGATTTATTAATAGAAGAATTGGAAAGGATGTAGTTCCTGAGCTGCTGAATCTTTTGTCATGAAGATACTAAACTAGTTTTTAAGGTGACAGGCATTTGGGTGCAGTGTATCTCTAGCACAGCTTTGAGTTAAGCTTTGCAGTTTTTGTTTATTCCAGTATGCTTATTAGATGAGAAGTGGACCAACTTAAATGGGAATGTGGTAACTGATGTTGAAAGAAAAATGCAGAATATGGAGGAAAAACCTTAGGTTTCATTTCTCTGATGCACTTATAGCTACCATCTACTGGGTTCATGTGGTTTATGGAGTCTGGCTGCATGGTTTTGATTTCGTGATGGGAGTTGGTTTAAAAAAAAAACAACAACAAAAAACAACAAACCAAAACCACCTTAATAATGAATTAATAATTAATTGCCTGTTGACTGATATGATGGAGGTATTTGAACATATTTATTTGTGTATTTATTTCAAGGTAACTTGTGAATGAGAATTGTCACTTCTAAGATACCAGCCACAGTGTGTGCTCACCAAGTTTACACAGTTACAGCTACTGATCTTTTTATAAAATTGGAAAGCTTAGCTTAAAAGTTGCAGAAAGAGTCTGATATTTATGATCTTCTATCTGTTTTGGTTTTTTCTTTTTAAAAATTTATTTTCAATTATTTATGAGAAACTCAGGTGGAATTTGAAGGCTTAGATGATTTAATTGGTCTTTGTAGCCGAAAAGTTGGTATATTTTATTACTGTCCCCCAAGTTTATGTATCTGAAGGATGGGGATGGAAAATTGTCTGTCTTCCGTATTAACTGCTGCTTTTTTTTTTTTTTTAAATTTTCCAACACTGTGTATGGAATCAGCTTTGTACCCTGTTGCTGTGTGGGTCTTGTAGGAATATGTGTGCCAGCAGCAATGAGAGAACATGGGAGGGTAAAGAGACAGGAACAAGGCAGGCTTTGGTTTTGGGACTTGGTGCTGCCAAAAGAGTAATACAAAAGTAGAGTAGAAGAAGTGCAAATGGTGTAAACCTGGCAAGAAGGAAGAAGTCTGGTTTAAAAAAAAAAAGTAGTTTGGGAATAATTTAACTACAGAATTGATTAATTAGCTTCCATCAACACTTTGTTGCAAAACCATAAATTTTTATGCGGCAGTACCCCTCAGTGCAACACGTTTTCCTGTAGTGACTGTAATTCTCTGAAAGACTTTTCCTACTGGAATAATGTTTTACATTTTTTTTGAAAGATGGAGCTATGGCGCTACAAAACACAGTGGCATATTAATGTCTCTTGCCAAGAGATATGGAACAAATTTGAAATCTAATTTCTGGCTCTGGGGAAAAACTCCAAATGATTAGTACTGCCAAAGACACAGAGGTATTCAGTCTCTCAGTATTTCATAATTACCAGATCTGTGTTTTTCAGTGGTGATGATGAAGCAATTATATGTAGCCACCTGTAGATATTTATGAAGCTGGGCTAAATTAAAATTCTGATGCTTTATAGCAGTTTTCTACTTTTTCAGTTATATTAATAAAATTATGAAACTCTAAAAAGTCTGAAACACTTTTCTTGATAGTAAAAGTTCCCATTTTTCCAGGAGTCCACAGTATACGTTTTTAACAAGAGATTCCATCTCTTCCATTTTCTGCTCACGAGACATTTTTCTTTATACTGCTCATTTTCTCAGTCCGTAAAAGTTTAAAGCTGTTGATTTTCATCCAGGATGGCAAAATTACTTTGCTATTAAAAATATATATTCATGTAGAGATGTTAAAGTAAAAAAGGAGAGGGGCTAGCCTGTTAAAATTGCACACGTACTTTAGACAGTATTAAGGAGAAAAAGCAATGACAGACCTATAACCCTGGGCTGAAAATACACTGTAAATCACACTATGTAGTGAAAATATAGGTAAGTTTAACCTCAACATGGGAAACATTTTTCACTATATTTCAATATATCTGTACTTAATTTCTTGGTGCACAACAATATCACTGGATTACGGCCTGACACTTTTTGGCTTTCTGGACCTTGACAATTAAGTATTATTGATTTGTTTTTAGCTGTAGGCGTGTTTGGAATATATGTAGCCCAGCAGTGCTATTTCATGGAAGATATTTTTGTTTTTGTGTGCACTAGGGTACTGCGGAGCTGACATAAAAGCACTTTGCACTGAGGCTGCCTTGATTGCCCTGAGACGACGCTATCCCCAGATTTACGTGAGCAGTCAGAAACTACAGCTTGACGTTTCTTCAGTAGTTCTCAGCGCGCGGGATTTTTATCATGCAATGCAGAATATTGTGCCTGCTTCCCAACGTGCCGTCACATCGTCGGGACACGCGTTATCTCCTGTGATCAGACCACTGTTGGAACGTACCTTCACTAAACTTCTTGAGGTTTTACACAAAGTGTTTCCTCATGCCGAATTTAGCCAGGGTGACAAAAGTGAAGGTATGTGCTTTGGGGTTTGTTTGCAAATGCTGTTTCAATTTGGAAATGTTTCAGCTGGCTTTCTTGTATTGCTAGCCTTAAACCTGATACGTATTTCATTCGCTGTTGTTAGTACGTAAATACAACTCGCTTGGATGTTACGTAGTTATTTTTGTCAATTCTTAGTTGCTGTGGAATTTAATAAACTGACCTATATAGACCAAGATCCCATAGGTGTGAGTGCCACCTGAGAAAGGAGAGCCCTCAACTAATTTACTATTGAAATATGAGAAATAATGGGACATAATCAAATGGCAGAAGAAAAGGAAATGGTGAGATCACAGACTGGTTTAGGTTGGAACAGACCTTAAAGCTCATCCAGTCCAACCCCTGCCATGGGCAGGGACACCTCCACCAGCCCAGGCTGCCCAAAGCCCCGTCCAACCTGGCCTTGAACACTGCCAGGGAGGGGGCACCCACAGCTTCCCTGGGCAACCTGTGCCAGTGTCTCACCACCCTCACAGTAAGGAATTTCTTCCTAATATCCAGTCTAAATCTACCGTCTTCCAGTTTAAAACCATTCCCCCTCGTTCTGTCTCTACCTGGCCTTGTAAAAAGTCCCTCCCCAGCTTTCCTATAGGACTCCTTCAGGCGCTAGACCTGAAATTGGTGTTCCTGTACTGAATGTCAGCTGTCCCCATTCCTTTGCTTATTGATGGTGCCTTTACAGGCTGCAGAGGAGTGTGATGGGGAGCTCGCAGCTCAGCTGGTGAGACACTGGCTAGCTGATATCCTCAAGCCCATGTAATGGTCATCTGCTGGTTAAGGAGAAAGTCCTGAGGCTTCCTTCCCCTTGAACTAGCCTGATGTGCTTCTGATCCTCTGAGCTGATTCTGCTGGCTTAGCAAGTGGAAAACTATTTGCTGTTTTGTCAAGTTAGCTTTTTGCCAAATTAGTGAGTAAAATCAACTCACCAAGGGGTCAGATATGTGCCAGAATCCTGCTGCAGTGGGAGCAGTGTGAGTGCCTTGAGGAAGCAGGGAATAAGGAGGAATGTGGCTGACTGTTATGTCTGGCACTGAGTCAATTGGTTCTGGGTTTTTTACACCCAGCTGTTCTCTGAGACTTAGATTAATAGTTACCCATGTAATTTCTTGGAAGTTAAATGTTGAACAAGCTATCTTAGTTTCAATACCTGCTTATTCTGGCATACTATTTTCTACTGTTCTTATCTGGGATCACCATCCTTCCCCCCGCCCCCCAGCTATGTAAATAGTACTTGTGGTTGTGCGTGATTAACCTGAAAATAGTCCAGTCATAAAGCAAATCTGTGACAGCCATGACTTTATTTTCATTCCTGTTCCAGAGCAGGCGTTCAGACTGCAGCCCAGGCAGCTTAAGCTGATCCTTGTGCTGGCTTCTGCAGTGCCTCCAGCCCAGCTGTGCATTTTTGCTCTGTCCCTAGCACTTACTTTAGTACGTCAGGGCCTTTGTTAAAGCTTTTTAGCCAGCAAACTCATCCAAAAATGATGTGGTTTTGTCAGGCTTAGTTTTCTGCTGACTGTGGGATAGCTGGAGGTGTTAACAAGTGTTGGAGTTGGCCTGAGATGGGGCCTGGGAGCATGTAGTGATGGTGAGGAGAGGGAAGTGAGCTGGTTTGCAGCTGCAGTTGGATCATATTAGGCCCCACTGATTGTATTAGGCTCTCATAACCAAAGTTGTTTAAGGTGCCTAAGTCTCTGTGTATACTGTTAACCTGTTGGTAACGCCCCATTTGGAGATTGTCATTACTGTTGAAGAATTAAATTGGATGTCCCTGTCTTTACTGTAAAGGTACAGTTCAGGATATTTTCTCTGGTTATGTTCTTTACGTTCCTATTTATTACTGCTCATTATTGCTGAAAAAGTGAGTTTGGAAGCATTCATTGAGTTAAGTAGTTTTACTAGATAATCCTGCTGCCATGGCTACTTTTAATAATTGATTTTGAAGACAAAAAGAACTAAAGTTTCTTTAGAAGTATCCTGTGTCTTATCTTTTCTTCTTATTCCCTTAAACCCAAGAAAACACTGAATAGTAACCTTAATCTGTGTTATAAACAGTAAAATCCACTTTCATGTACAACAATTTTAAATGTAGCTGTAGGTTACACACTAGCACTTTAGTCTACAAATCTAGCAAATTCAGTCTTTAAATCCAACTTTCTGCATGTCTTTGCGGTTCACTAATGATTTCTGTTTCTCATCATTCAGTGACTCAGACGCTCAAGCAAATGATGCCACAGAGGCTTGATGCTTGGGATTAAAAGATGGGCGGCCTTTTTTATTAATTATGTATTTTAGGAAGAAAAAGCTCTGTTCAGTGCACAAGCGTAGGACTTACCCTGTGGTATACATTTGATATAGCAAAAATTCTGCCTGTTTAGGGCTTGCAGTGAGCCAAGAGTTAGGAGGCCCATGTCCAGTTGATCTGAAGGCCTTTATCCTTGCCCAGAGCTAAATGTCCAGCAGCTTTTGTCCTACCTTTTCATGCTGTGGACCAGCTTTTGGCCACTGGTTGGGGTCTACAAGCATTTTTCATCTTTGCCCCCTGAGGAATGATTGTCAGGTATGTGACTGCTTCATGTCTTACCAAGGAATGTGGCATGTCCTCATCCCATACCAGCAAAACGTTATTCCTGCTCAGCATACTCTGAATCCAATGTCTTAGATCACGTGTGACTGCTTCATGTCTTACCAAGGGATGTGGCATGTCCTCATCCCATACCAGCAGAACGTTATTCCTGCACCAGCAGAACGTTATTCCTGCCCAGCATACTCTGAATCCAATGTCTTAGATCACACAGCCATCTAAGGGAACCTTTGTTGTCTTACAACAATTATTCCTGGGACCACAAGTCCAGATGCATGGCCTTAGGTGGCATCTCTGTCCAACACATAGCGCTGGCTTAAAGTTGCTTCCCTTGTCCTGTGGTGGTGGCTTGATCAGTGTAGCAGGACCTGTGACATGAGTTCATGTAAATCAGGCAAATCACGCAGTGGATTCTATATTTGAGAATAATGCTTAGATCCCTCTGTATTTCACCCTTGCATTTCACAGCAGTCCATTTTTCTAAGTGACTGTGGCCAGCTTGGTTGCTGTTGGGCTGTCCAGTGGTTGCCCTGAAGAGCAGTGTGCTGCAGGGACTG